ACCCATTCTGGAGCCCTGGTGGTGCACTGGTTAAGAGCTTGACTGCTAACCAAAAGGCTGGCCATTAGAATCCACCAGCCACTCCTTGGAAACCCTATGAGGCAGTTCTGCTCTGTCCTATAGGGTCACTATGAGTCAGAATTGACTCGATGGCAACAAATTTTTTTTGTTTTTGTTTTTGGTACCCATTCTACATATCCCCTTCCTTTTACGTGACCACTTTCTTAGTTTCAGGCACCACAAGATGCTTCAGGATCATCTTGTAATTTCCCTGTCCCAGCCCTGGAATCAACCATTTCTCAAAGGAGCCTTGGTTCCTTTAATTTTAGAATGGGATTTAGAAACCAAGATCTAGGCACTAGATGTGCTCATTGCTACAGGAGTATCACTGTTTCTAGGCCCATCAGTGAAAAGATCTAAATAATATATGTATGTATACTAACTAGCTTAAGCATACACACACATCTTTATTTCTATATATTTATTTAAAAAACAAAACTATAAGTTCACAGTGATTCCTCAGATCCCAGTTCAGCACCTCAGGGTTCATTCTAGCACCTTTTCCCTTTCCTTATTTGTGATTTTTGTTTGGCTATAATAATCTGGCTCAAATAATCTACAGTATATTTACTTATTTGTTATACATGTAATTTCAGAATTGCTACTCCAATTCTGAGAAGCAAATGTGCCAACTAAAGTATGATGTTTGTGTACAGTTCTTTTTGTCTTTAACCTTATAGTTTCCAGTCAAAACACTGTTTTCCAAAGTTACTTAGGTACTTCCCACCCTCTTCAGTGTGGTTACATAGTTCATTCGTAATATAGTTAGATTCATTTGTTACAGTCTGTATTGTATCTTAGGTTCTCCCAATGTCCTGCTTTATTTTTTTTTTAAACTTACATACAGTAAAATTCCATCTTTGTTGTGTACAGTATTATAGGTTTTGACAAATGCACAGTCATATATCCAGCATATATTTTCATACAGAATACTTTCATTGCCCCCAAATTCCCTTTTGCTGTTCCTTTGTTGTCAAACCCTTCCAGCTCCCTTATCCCTGGCAACCACTGATCTGTTTTCTGTTTTTATAGTTTTGTCTTTCCCAGAATGTCATATAAATGAGTATGCAGTCTTTCACTTAGCAAAATGCATTTAAGATTCATCCAAATTGTTACATGATTCAATAGTCTGTTCGTTTTTATTGCTGAGTTGTTTTCTAATGTCTTTATGTACCATAGCTTGTTTATCCATTCACATCTGGGTTGTTTCTAGTTTGGACAATTAGGAATAAGATTGCTATAAATATTCACAGATGAATACAAGTTTTCTTTTTTCTTGGGTTAATATCCAGGGTGGGATTAATGAGTTATACGATAGGTATATGTTTAACTTTATAAAAACTGCCAAGCTGGCTTGCAAAGTGGTTATATCATTTTGCATTCCTACCAACAATATTCAGTCAAGCCTGTGAAAGCCAGAACCTGTGTAAGGCTGAAACCTGTCAGAGAAGGAATACTCAAATATTTTCCACTAAATAGTGAAAGACGAGTGATGACTGCACTCTGTCAAAAGCAGAAAACTTGGGACACCCAGAAAAAAAAGCCTGTCAAGTTCGATTCTCACACGTTTCACAGTGTAAGAGTTCCAGTTGCTTTGCATTCTCACCAGCACTTAGTATTGTCAGATTTTTATAACAAATATTAGCTATTCTAATGTGTGAAGGTGTGTAATAAGGGTAGTTTTAATTTGCATTTCATTAATGACTAATGATATTGATCATCTTTTCATATGTTTATATGCCATCTGTATATCTTCTGGTCAAATGTCTCTTCAGAGCTTTTGCCCTTTTTTTAAAAAATTGGGGTGTTTGTTTACTTATTGTTGAGTTGTAAGAGGTCTTTGTATATATTCTGCATACAAATCATTTATCAGAAATAAGATTTGCAAACATTTTCTCCCATTCTGTGGCTTTTCTGTTCATTCCGTTTTACAGAACTCAACTTCTTAATTTCGATAAAGTCCATTTTATCTATTATTTATTTTTATGAATTGTGCTTTTTGTATTGTATCTAAAAACCTTTTGCCTAACCCAAGTTTGCACAGATTTTCTCCTCTGTTTTATCCTACAAGTTGTATAGATTTATGTTTATTTAGGTGTATGATGCATTTTAGTTGATTTTTGTGTAAGGTGTGAAGTGTAGATTGAGGTTCATTTTTTTGCCTGTGGACATCCAGTTATTCAGTGAGACTATGAACTCCTTGACAGTAGAGGCTGCACCTTCTTATCTTGGTAATCTTACTATGGTACAGTGCTCTCCACAAAGCAGATTCACTTCAAATATTTGTTAACTGAAGAACTTATTCTCAGCTTCTATTTTAATCATGCCCA